TATTACCACATTAGAAGCCTAAATTTGCGATTGAGAACAGCTGCTATTTGGCTTGCTCGCTTTCTTTTTCCTGAACGAAAGGAAGCAGTATGTCCTACCAGAATCTCAAGCTTTTGAAAAATATATCTGTTTTCATGAACTGTGAGACCAAAAGTTCTCCGCTGAGTCAAGTTTCAGGGAGACTTTTGCCTGAGAAGTGTAGCAGGACTACTTTACAATCCCAGAAACACCTGCCTCCTACCTAGTAGGTCTTTTTTGGTCCCAGTTTATTTTGTCTTGGTAGAAAAAAAAAGAGATAATTATCTAATTAGATAAAAACCAAACACATTCATTCACCTAGAAGCATAATCTAGCAAATACTAGTCACAAACATTAATGCTGGGTGGAGCACATCACATTTATCCCCTCAAAGGTGTGGTGCTGGTATAGTCTGCATTATCAGAAAAACACATCTATACATGGTAATAAGATTTACTGTATGGGGAAAGTCTGGGAGTGTCTAGAATCAATTTAGCAGGAAAAACATAATTTACTTTGGGTTGACGTGGGATTGCCACAGGTGTAAGAATAGGTTTTCTTCCCACCACCCATCTGGCTGTGGTGGTGTTACTGCACTAAATACTGAGACCTCGGGGGAACTGGCAGCGAGCTGCAAGGTGTGAATCTGGACAATGGAAATTCATCTGGGAACAAGACATAAGAACAGATAATGCCCAAAGACAGGCTGCAGGCAAGTTTCTTGTCTGGAGACAGGTATAACTTGCTTATATCTTCAAGTTATGATTTTCAGCCTTCCAAAAACTCAGATGTACTGAGTTGTACTTGGGATACATGTTTAACATTGCTTTTGCAGTGATAATACACCCTTTCTGCCTTGAAATGAGATTTGCACAATACAAAAAGGCAGCTCTGGAGAAGAGTTATCAAAACACATTGCTACGTTCTTCTTATTTCCAAACACCGAGTGACATTTACATTACAAGCAAGGAAGCCAAAACATGCAACTGAGTAGGAAGGAGAGTCGGAAGCAGCAAATACATAGAAAGTTCAGAAACGCAGAAGTTTATCTGGATGTTTGCCCATATTCTAATGCTACAAGAAGACCAAACATTTTGACACAAGTGGAACAGACTGCTGGATGTTGCATTGGCTCTGTGACAAGGCCAGGCCTTACAGGAACGCTGGCATTGTTTTCTGATCACAGCAAGACCTAATGGCACCAATCCTGAGATGTGGTCTGACGTGCCTTCCTCCCTCAACCAGCACTTCTCTACATTCCACCAGCTGCGTCTTGAGCCATCACAGTATGACACCCTGCCAGTTTACAGCACAGTTAGACTTTTGTTTCAGCTAACAAGAACTGATTTTCATATATATTCTGCTGTGCTTGGTCAGGAGGCAGGAGGCTGTGAGTGTAGCATGGCAGTGCAGGGGTATGGTAACTTTCAGTTTCTGGTGGCTCCAAGGATATTGCAAGAGAAAGAGGAAGTTGGAGAGCTTTTGCAATTTTTGGATTAAGCTCTTGTGCGGCTTAATAGTTAAATACATCTTTAAAACTAAGCATATGGTTATGTTCCTTTTTTCAAGTACAGCCAGAGCAACTGTGGCTATAGCAGGATATGAGTGGGTTACCCCAGTAACCCATGCAGGCATCTTGCACAGGATGAGATGCTGCACAGTTTTGTAGTTCTGTCCACTAATATTTGGGTTTGCTTTCACAGATAGTAAAAGGGTCTTATAATTTGAAGTAAAAATAAAACTGATGAGATATCATGAAATCAAACATCAGCTGCTCACAAGATATGGTAGCTGATGGTAGCTGAGGCATGATAGAGTTAAGTAACTTTGTAACTCGAGTCTCAACTTTCTGGTGCTAGTTTCTCTGCTCAGATGTGACATGACCCACCATAGGGCACTTTACAGAGCACTTACAGAAAGAGTTAAGGTTTTATTCATTGCTACATTGCTTCAGGAGCCCTGATTGTCCACTGCAATCATTGATGCTGCTGCAATTCAAATTTCTCTTCGGTTGACTTTGATTGCAATTATATATGATGCCAACCAGAGTGAATAGGAGAAAATGCACCAGTCAATGATACTACAGGTTGGATATTAGCTCCTGCAGTCATATCCACCACCTGTCTTTAAATCATTTAGTGTGGTGTAGCCCTTACTGTTTCCTTGGAAGCAAGGAAACCAAGCAGACTCTTCTTATAGCTTTTGAGTAGCCATCATTGGTATAAAGTGACACACCCCTAGTAGATATTCCTTCTTCATTTTATAGTACAATGGACTTGACCTAAATCAGCGAAGAGAGATTCCTGTCAGAGACATCCCTGTACTAGACATCAGGGATGGATGAGAAGACTTAGAAGAAAGCAACTATTTTAGATCTTTGTATGGCAGAACTAAAACTGAATTTATTATAAAGTTCTGAAATGTCCAAACATATTTTACTGCCTTGTAGTTTCCAGATGGGTCTGCATCCAGAACACCAGAATACCACAAAAATGCTGCTTTTTTTCTTGCTGCAATCAGAAGCAGCTGCAACAGAAGGCTATAGAAAAGTCTGATTCTTAGAAAATGCCTGTCTCTGTTTTTCAAAATAAAAGAAGTTTAGATAATTTAAGTAAACTTTGCAGGGGCATCCAAACATTTAGAATTGCACTAGGATGCACATTTCAAACCCTTGGAAGCATATTCTTCACTAGTTATTTGCTCCTAATGAGGGAACTGGAGTATTCCAGTGGGTAAAATTCAAGAGACAGGATTCTGGTCTAGCCCAGCTCTAATTTAATAGGTGGCTTTGACAGTATCACTTAAATTCTCTGCTGCTCAGTTTCCCTGTTGATCCTAGGAATCAGGCTTCTAAATCAATTTGCTGGAGTTTCAAGTTCACATACTTACAATTATTATTTTATTCACTGTAAACATGTACAGAGGTGAATTTAACATTTTTGGAGACAAATCATTATTCGGCATCACACTGAATTCTATTCAAAATCCAATAAAAGACCAGTATTTGGAGTTTAATCATCGAGCTGTCAAGAGCCCTTAGGACTAGCTGATTCCTCTGAAAGTTGGTACACAATAATTTCAGAAACTACACAGCACCTTGCAGCAACAAACCTGCCAGGATTTTTTTTTTTACTGTTCATACTTCAATTTTAAAGCTATTGTCTGCATTCCCAATTTGGCTTTGCAGTCCTTGCACTCAGTGGGTTTACAGAGCTACATGTGCACACCCCATTCAAAACACTTGCCAATATCAAGCATACTGTATGGAAATATGCACACGCATGCTCATGCATAAACCACAGGGTGAGGTGCAGGAAAATGAAGGTGCTTTTAAAGTTTTTATTTTTAATCTGACTTTATGGAAAATTAAAAAACAACACAAGATTATAATTTAACCAAGAATACCTTCATTGATATTAGTTTCCAGTATCTAGTAATACAGGATAATATCTAAATGAATAAATGTAAATAAGTGATGAGTTGAATATACAAGCCCTTGGGCTTATATAAAAGTTGACTGATACTTGCAGCAATTCTGACTCATAATAAAAATGATTTATTTAAAGATTTATTATGAACATTGCAGGAAAGGAGATAACAGACATGCACCGCTTTGTTTACAGTAAAATTTCCTGTCAATTAAAAAGAGTTCTTATTCTCTGTTTGGTTTTGATTTGGTACTGTACCAAGCATCTGTTTATAAAAGGAAATATGACAGTACAAAGTGTACAAAATGAATTGCAAAAGACATTAACAGTCAAGGTGAATTTGCTTTAAATTAAGGCCTAGCAACACAGCCACTGTAGACCCCATTAAGGGAAGGAAAGCCAGTCTAAGGCAGATCTTTCATGCACCATTACTGAGAGCTGAACGGCCTGAAATTCAGGCCACAAAGCTACTCTCCAAACTGGGATTGGTGTTAGCCCTGCAGCAAACTCATGGGTCACCCTCAGGGTCAAAAGAATATAACCTAAGCCATATGTCAGGCTTGAACCTCCCTTATCTGTGCCCTGAGCTGCAATGAGCTCAGCCCCTAAAGCAGGGTTCCAAATGTTTCTTTCTGAGGAACTTCAGCTACCAGTGATGTTAATCAGAAGCAGAGACCTTCAGCAGAGTGCAGTAAGTGGAGATACCAATAGAGTTAGGGTGGGTTTGTTTTACTGAGGTGTCAGTGCATGGAGTAATGACCTAAGAGACACATCAGTGAGAAAAAGACTGAACTGCTTTTAAAAAAATTTTCAGGTGATGAAGTGATAAAGCAGGAAAAAAAGTGTTGCAGAGCACTATATAAAAAAAAAAATTGATATAAAGTAGGTAGTATGTTTCAAAGGGATTATGTCTTGAGGACTTTTTCCTGCAATCCACTTTTGCTGAGCTTTTTTGCCTATAGTACTCCCTAAACAGCTTATTAGAGTCTTTCTGAAGTCACATTTATGTGACAAAGCATGTTGCAACCTCAAATCCTCCCATCCCACAGAGAATCTTCTGGGAGGAGTCTTGGATGAAGATAATGTATCCACAGTTGAAAAGGAATAATAAAAACAATCATCACAGGCTTCACCAGAAAACTAGAAAACAACCAGTTTTGCAGAAGCAATTCACTTTGTTGAGTTAGCCCTGGAGCCGCCCTAGTATCTCTAGAAATCAGAAAACAAAGACTAGGGCTTCATGGATCTCCAAAGTATCCACTCAGGGAAAGAAAAGGTTTGTGGATGGAAGTGCTGGATCAGGGGCGTATTCTCCTTGTACATACAACAAAGGATTTACATGGAAGATAAAATCCTGAAATTATTGATATCATTTGGAGGCCAAGAGTTACACATATTCGTGGGGTTTACTCCAAATTGTTCCAAGAGCCATTATTTGATATGTAGTCCTATGAAATTAATGCCAGATTTTAAAACCATGTAGTTAATAAAACCAATTGGCAGACAATCCTCTGTACACAAGTTCATTGGTTAAGAAGGTTTGTTGGCACTTACCTGGGGGCACATGTTCATTCATGATGACGAGCGATGCTGGTGTAGGCCTTCTTTTCCTGATCTGTAACATGCAGAAACCAAGGAGAGTCATTAGAGTCCACCAACTGTCCTGCACCCAAAGCAAAGCAAAAAGTCTATCTGATGCACTTCCAACTACAGACCAGGCAAAGTTAAAAATGAAAATATTTAAAGAGCAGCAGGTCACTGTCTTACTGACTGCTCGTCTGGTCTGACAGTGATCAGGGTCATGCTGCTGCCCATACATGGAAAGCAAAGGCATGGAGGGGAGCCTTCCAAAATACCTTTAGGATTTGCAATCATATTGAATAATTTTTTGGACATGTATCGCTGACATGTATAAGCCATATCTTAAAATACTGACATTTAGCTTTGCTTCAGGGAAACGATTGCAACAGTTTGTGAGCTTATGTGTACAGATATTTAGTACTGTCATAGCTCTCACAACTAATCATTAATATTTTGTAAGTGCTATTGAGAGTTGATACTGCATGTACATCTTCCACTGAATTGATGATATTTCTAAACCGTGGCCAGAGGTGTTGCTTCTGTTCTTTAACTAAAGAAAAACAATACTTAAAAATTGCAAAAGAAGGTTTTCAAAGAACACTATACAACAGATATTTACATATCAATATGTAATCCTGAATTGTATACAGTTTTTATTTAGAATTGATTCAGTTAAGTACTTTTCTTCCATTAACACTGGTTGAACTACATGATATTGGACTACCCTCCTATAATGCACACATTTGCATTGAAAGCTTTGTGTTGCTTCACTAAAGCCTCCAGGCTATTGATATTCTACTGAATTCAAGAAAGGAACCAAGAGTATTTTAGCTAGAAACCATCCTGACAGAAAACCTCAATGTCAGTGCGTTTGTTCTTTTTTAGTTGCTGAGCCAACATCTGTATTTAGCTGGGTTCAAATTTTGCTTTCAGAGGTGTAAATGGAAAATTACATCATCAGAGCTAATGGGCTTATTCCAGATTAGCGTAACTGTAGCTGAAAGCAGAATTTACTACTTTAATTTCATCACACACCCACAGTGAAACTGTATAGCACTTGGAATTAAACTCACAACATAAAAAAAGGACTGCCCATAAATACAGGGCAGAATTTGGGCCACAGCACTTCAAAAGCCATGGGAATTCCAGGAAATCCAAATGGTTCGCACAGATTTCAGAAAAATATCAGAACACATCCTTCTTTAATTCATTGCAGGACTGTTCCATAAGGTATAGAGCATCTTGCAGCTCAGAAGTACCTATGGACAAAATGAGAACCCCCAGCAATTCTCCCCTGCAACCTTCTAGTATTTCTTCGTTCAGTGGTCACTCACAGCTCATCAGTTTCTGGCAAAGGCAGCTGCCTTTTAAGAGACACAACATCAGAATATTCAGGAAACCAGATACCTGTCCTAAAGGTGCAAATAATTTCATAGCTAATGGTACAGAACTGTCAAGGTTATAATATTCCCCTGGTATCATCTAAAACTAGACTTACCAAAATAGAAGCAAATGTCAAGAAGGACCTGCACTGAAAAAAATATACTGGGTCACCTAATTACAATTTATCCAGCTTTTCTCATAAGATTCCCTCTGTCCTTCTTTATGTGCATCTATGTATATCTGTACACAATAATAAATATCTTTTCCTCCTTAGACATGTGTATTGCTATATATATTATATGTATGTGTATGTTTTGGGAGTGAGTCAAAACCTAAAATAGCACAGACATAATTCCAATGCAGACATAAGTCAGGCATACTTCTACATGTATATATTTTTCAAATATATAAAACATTGTAACAATGACATAAAGAAGACTGTATAAAAATACAGGAGGTAACTGAAGTGGTAACTATTGTGCAAAACAGAACTCGTATTTTCTACGTTAAAATGAATGGTAAGTAAGCTGTCTTCTGTGCAATATTTCCATTAGGTACCCATTATCAGCTTCATGGTTTGCTTTATGCACAAATAATATACTTTAGTTGATTTGTTGAGAGTGTGTGTTCATGTGAAGTGTATGTATTAGGGTACAAGGCCAGTTATAGAAAAGGCACAACAAATATATACTGAATAAATCTACCCAAGGTAAAGAAGTCTTATTCTGGCTAGAGGACTTACCCTCCTCCCTCTTTGGGTGTATCCAGATATGGCTATAGCTCCAGAGCATTTAATCTATAGTTACATTACTATAAATTAGAAAAGCCTTTAGGCCACAAGTACTACCCATTCTCACCCCACATCTTGCCGCCATTCCTACCCCATTCCCTCAAAACACTAAAAGAAACTCATCTTCCTTACCTGCTCAGCTGCCTCGGGATCTATTTGACTCTGGAACAGTGGCACAGCAAACTGTATTTTTTTAGGGCTGTTGGGCTCCATTGTGGTGCTGAGGTGAGTCAGACAAGAGAAGAGCCTGGAGCTTGAGACTCGGTCTGCGCCTCTCGCCGGGCGCCCTCCCCGCAGCCAGGCTGGGTGCTCCTCAGGAACAGCTGTAACTCCTGACTTAGCGCAGGAATCCGCCTGAGCCCAGCAGCTCCCTTATTCCACATCCACGGAGATGCCGCCGGCTTGGCTATTTTCTTTTTTTTCCCCCCTCTCCCCTCTCTTCTGCAGTCCTTCAGATCCTCTCAGCACAAAGCCGAAAGGAACAATAAGCTAATTGTGTACCAGTTCACTTCTACATATGCCAAGCATTCACTCAGAAGCTAATTGAAAATGCAATACTAGCATTGCATGGCCTGGAGCCCTGGGATTTGAAAAAGAGGATCTCTCCACCGTACATTACTAACTGGCTGCTCAGAAGTGCAATGCAAGCTCCCTCTGAGTATTGCTGATGGGCTCTTAATTATTGATGAACACAAATCAGGAAGTTTTCAGATTTTGGGGGTGGAGGTAGCGGGAGGAGTGGATGCAATAATTCCATCTCTGTTACAGTCTGCCAGAACCGCTCTCCTCTTCTCACATATCAAACAATTGCCTTTGTACTTTCAAATCCTTTTCTAAACCTCTTCCAGGAAGGTTTTCGATGGTGATGCTACACAGATGCCTACACTTTCATGAAGCTTATCTGGTGTGCAAAGTTGGTTTGCACCTTAGGCTGGGTTCGCAGATTTCGACTGCGATCCCTTCTGGTGGGCTCCATCCCACTTGACTTCAGATACTGAGAATATCCACATTTAAGCCAACTATCTGGGCTCCCTCATGCTAGGCATCTCAAAGGGCTGTCCTAGCTAAGCGGAATATAGTGTTTACTGGAGATGACAACTTCTCTCCATTAACCCTAGAAAAAGTAAAGATGACTCATATTAGTAACCTCACTTTTAGATGGCTAAAATTAGGAGGTCCAAATTCTATTTCAGGGTACAAAATCTGTGCCTTCTTCCAAGAGCAGGAGAAAAATTTAGTTAATCATACCAATAGTAACTTTTGGTGAACATAACTGATTTCCACTTTTCATTACAGTTGTATCCTGAATATTTTTAGTGCCAAGGTGAAATGCTCAGTTTTATTTACCACAGCAAATGAAAGAGGTGCACAGAATAGCAATGTTCAGTGTTTCATACAATTATTTTTAAGCCTTCACTATTCTTATAAAGGTGAATAATAAATTTCTTTATAAACTTCCACAGACAATTAGAGCCAGAGCACAATTGCAGCAGTTCTGCTGGTACAACTAAGAGTCTGAGACAGTAAAGTAAGAGAAGCACATGTCACTTTCACTATGGACAATTAGAGAGTTGTTTTCAGGACAGTCTAATTATCCGATTTCAAAAGTCCTCCATGAACAGACATGCCATTAACTTCAATGACAGCTTCAGACATAGCAGATATACACAGGGATACACCCAGGGGATACACAGGGATCTGAAGTTGTGGCTTTTCTCTGATAAATTTTCATACTTGAAAGAAAATAAATTTGGTTTTATCAGTCCGTGATGGTGTGAGAGAAATGTTTTCCAGCTGTTTTGCTGTTATATATATTAATAAATAGCATATTTTAACTATCAGGTGTCTCCATGAAAAAAACTGTTTGCCGTAAAACATCCCCTTTAGCTGTCTACGAAACTTCATGTTGTGCTACATAATTGTGCTACAATTGTGCACAACAAAATTGTGCATAATTGTGCTACAATTACAGTGTATGTTACAGTATTACAGGAGATATAATTCTCATTACAAAGGCTTAAAATTTCTTACATGAATGATGAAAAAACACATCCAGATAGTGAAAAATATTAAAACATTAAATGCTCAAAGTATTATAGAGGTGCATTTCAGCTCTAGATTGCTGGATATTGCTGTCTAGAGAAATCATGTCTCGAAGTCATTGCTAGCAACAGTATCTGAGAAAAAAGCTCAACAATCATACGAAGAAACAAACCAACACCACCACTTCTTGGCAGGTTCAGAAGGGAGCCAGACAACAGGACAGGACTAGAAACAAGGACAAATCCTTAATGGGGCTCCTGCGCCTCAGAGAGAGGCCCACCAATGGCATGATGTGGAGATACTTGCCTCTGCAGCTCTCCTCTCTGTGCCTATTTGGAGCTGGCTGCCCAGCCATCTTCACATGCACTATAACAATTAAAGTATTTTTAAAATAGTATAAGAGGCATATTTCAGAGCGCACTCGAATATAGCATTTCAGAATTACTACATCAGCTCACTCTTACACCTAATTTACAGCACTAGATGTCTCCGGGCAAAGTGTGCTTGCATTTTCTATAGACTGCATCATAGTCTGGAGAAGAGCTGAAATGCATTTAAGTACTGCCAAATCCTTTTAGCTCATCTTCTGTTTTTAGTGCACTCCCCACAATATTTCAAATTCCTTCATGATTCAGCTAAAACTATCATGGAAAAAAAAAAATAAGAATAACTGTCTATGATCTTTCCTTCCTATGCCATTCACTAGGTTGTGGTATGAAGTGCTGCCTTATAATATATCCTACTGCAGTGACGAGCTATCGGAGTACTCATGACAAAGTTCCTGCTTGAGATACGTTCCCTGTTGTGTTAGGGGAGGTTTATAGTCTTTTTCCCAGCCAAAGAGAGAGGCTGCTGGGAACGGAATTCAACGTTGTCTGTCCTGCAACTTTCTTACACAACTTCTCTTGTGCCTGTGATCGGCCTTACCTTCTCTGCTGTGGTCAGGGACACCTGGAACATCAGCCTGGCAAGGAGAGGAGAAAGAGCTGGAGCTGCTTGTGAGGCCAAACTACTTCAGGCTTTGGCTACTAGTTTCACCAGTCCAGGTGCAGGGAATCACTCAGTTACAGTTCTCTGATCTCAGGCTGCTTTCACCGAGCAAAGGAAGCGGCACTCCTTCCAGTGTGTCTCTTAGGACATAATTCCCCATGGTAGTCACTGACACACGAGAACCTTTGCAAAGATATGTTGGTCTGTGCTTTCCTCAGGCTCTCTGATGTGGGCCTCTCCTCACCCCGGCATCTCCCCAGCAGCATCAGGGTAATAAACCCTACAGCGCAGATTGCTTCCCGGCTGCTGCTCACCGGCTTTCTGTGACAGCCAAAGGGGACTTTAGCATGCCCCTTCCTTCTGCCCTTTTCTAATGAACTGACAAATGTTTTTTCCACTGCCTTTGTCCATACAGAGGCACCAATTTTGCAGCTCTTGGTGTTGGTCATGAATGCTGGACATGGTCTTTTCTGTGCACACCATACCTGTTCATGGATGGGTTTTCCTCTTGGGGCTCAACACCCAGCATTGCTCATAGGTGCTAAAGTCAAATGTAAGTCTTCCAAGAATAAACAATGACATATTCAAAATGACACTGAAAGTTTCCTTTCAGAGTAGCTAAATACAGGCGTTGCAATCAGGGCAGCTCCCACTCAACTGCTGGAAACACAGTTTGCTATTTATATGCAGAAAATGCGAAGAATTTAAAATCTGCAAGGGTGGGAGAACATAGAGCAGATCATGTCTGTTTCGTGAGCGGTAAGTGTTGTTGCAGGCAGCTCAAGAAGAAGAACAGAAAGTCTTTTTGAGCAGCTGCAGAGTTGGTGGGACATTCAGCAAGAGCTGTTGGCCTAGTAACGGCCTAACCCAAACTTCCATCACCAATACTTGTCCATTGAACACAAGGCTTGCACATTCTTACATACTAACTACATACATGGATTCATAAAGCCTAGATAAGTAAAAAATACAGCTATTTCTATTTAGACAATCCTTTAGTTGAGATAATAATTCCTTAGCAGTATAATTCTAATATAATGTTTGAAGTTACCTTTATCTGATGGCATAAGAACTGATACTATCTATCCAAGTCTTTCTCTGTGACTCACAGCTCTACAGATCATTGAGTAATGTACAGACATTTACTGGTAGGTGTTATCCACTACCATCCATAGAATACACACAATCACATGCTACCAGGTTAAAAATGGAAAGCCATCAACTGGGCTATAAAAGCTCAGCATGCCAAATTCAGAATATGTTTTCAAAATTTTGATTTTCTTTTTGGTTGAGATTCTTTAGATTTCCCTTCTTCCTTGCCGCCTCCTCCACCTCAGAGGATAGGCTAGGCCTAGAGAAGTCACAGTGACCTCCATGGTGGTGTCTGCAGCACCCACATGGGAGCAATGGAGTTGGCTGGACCTCTGCAGCTGGCACACCTGGAGGGTGCTGTCCAGGGCTTGGTGACCTGGAGAAGGTGACCAGGGCACATTTGTTTACTATTTCTTATACAAGCGTTGGGAGCAGCAGGATGGGGGCTGCTCCATGAGTAGGGACAAGCCAGGAGCTGAGAGCTACCCCAATTCAGGCTGTACCCTCTCTGCGGCCTCACGCAGCCTGGAAGCAGAGCTACAAGGCATCACACAAAATTATTCAGGGATTCTTCCAAACAAAAAACCTTCTCCATGTAGGCCGTCCTTAAATTGTGGAACTCACCACCATGCTGTGGACACCAAAACATTCCATGAGCTAGAAAAGCAATTAGGTATGCTCATGGAAAAGAAATCCATCACTGATACCACCACTGGCCAGGAAATCCCAGAGCCAGCACCTGCTGAGAGCAGGAGGGCAGAGATGCTCCCCACACTCCCCTCAGGTTATGCTCTTCCTGAAGAGCAGCATCTGCTGTTGGCCGCTGTGGGGGTGAAGATACTGAAGGGGCTGGACCTTCGGTTTAATCTGCTGTGGCTGCTCTGGTGTTACTAACTGCAACAGAACTCCAAGCGTTTCATGAGCCTGTACTGCTACACACCTTGTATTTAACAATAACCATTCACTTTGTGAAGCTTTTGTTCCATCCCTTATGCCAGAGCAAAAATATGTCTAGAGGTAAATTTTCCTGCACCCTGCCCTCCCCCCCCGCCCCATAATAGCAATACATAATTTATTAAGTACATATTTAAAATTTGCATTATTCAGTCTTTAGTACAGGACATTGCCCTTCAAAATAATTTCCCCTGTCCTTGTGACACTTCTAAAGCAAAATCTAAAACTAAAGCTGAACACACAGAACTAAAGAGAAATACTTTTGTAGATGTTTTCTTAAAAAAAAGACTCTAAAACCCCCTAATGTGTTGTAGCAAGTAATCAATGGAAAACAGGACTACTTTAGAAAACAAAAAAGAGAAACTCTCCATTATTA